TTTCTCGGATAGCCTCTCCTACTGGCAATCCTGATTGGGAAATAAGGTGAGTTGTAATCCACTGTAGTCTAACCTCTTAATGATAATTACATTTATTTAACTCAGGGGTAAAAATCTAAAATTTCTTACTACCGGTGGGTATGGCTTGGTGGGGGGGTAATATGACTGGGTGGGCGTGGGCAATTTTTTTTTTTTTACTTTTAAAACCATTTTTTCTACAACCTCTTTGGCTAAGAGGTTGTAAAAAAATGTTTTCAAAAGGCTCTGACAATTCCAGCTAAGTTCCCTGATTGGCAGAGGCTTTTTTAAAACTCAGCTGGGATGGTCATAGCATTTAAAAGAAAAAAACCCTTGTTTTCTTTTAAATGCCCTGACGATCCAAGCTGAGTTCCCTGATCGGCAGGGGCTGCCGATCTTTTAAATGCCTTTGACGAGCCGCACGATCATAAGAGGCTTTTTTTTTTTTTTTACTTTTAAAAGCATTTTTCGGCCGTAGTTGTAGAAAAAATGCTTTTAAAAGTAAAAAAAAAAAGCCTCTGATGATTGTGCGGCTCAGCTGGGCATGGGGGGGAGCGGGGATTTTTGCTACCGGTTCTCCAAGCCACCTGCCTCAATCGCTATCGGATTGGGCAATCCGGTCCGAACCGGGATCATTTCACCCCTGATTTAACTATTTGATTTGTGAGGATAGAGGAACTGAGTTTGATATGTTTTGGAATATTTGTTGCTTATGTTCTAATAATGATTAGAATTGAGGTGTGGTGGTGCATGTACTATGTCTGTGGGTGTATAGGTTGTAAAAGGTAGTTGTTGTACCTGCATATATTATATTTTAATGCTTTTAATTTTGTTTATATGCATGTGATTTAGATTTAAATTTAGAGATATATCCATGTCCATCTCTTTTTCTAGAAGAGAAAGTTGGGAGGGTACAATAGCAAGGGAACTGAAGGATGGTGGTAACCTGTAGTCTGGATTGAAGCCTTTCCAGACCTTGATGATAGCCAAGGTGTCTCTGACCACAGTCCTAAGGTTTTTTTGCCTAGGACAACAGTGACCTATGGGTTAAGTCTTCTTAGTGAAAGTTACTTTCTTACAAGGAAGCCTTGCAAACATTGAATTCCACTCTTTTTCCCCTTCTTATTTTCCTATGCTAAACTCCCTGAGACTCTTGGGAAATTTACCGATGGATTAATATCAATAAATACTTGATACTTTCCCCAAAATTATTGTTTCTTGGGTTTTATTCCTATTACTTCATTTGCATCCATGCAATAAGAAGTTTGTAGAGAGTATGAATGTCAGATGGAGAAACCGATTTAAACTTTTTCTTTTCAAAAATCTGTTCAGTTTAGGATTGGGGGTTCTTTTTCTGTTGCATTCTGAGCAGGCATTTGATTCCAGAAGCAAATTCCATTCATTTTAGCTATTGTTGCTTTATGGAAATCAATCTCCATAAATCTCAGGTTTTCTTCTTTTCTTCCACAGTAATGAAATTCAAGTCTCTTGCATTCTCATCTTTACAGTGTTTTACCACTCGCTCATTACAGCAGTGATGCCGATAACTAGTGTATCAACTCTGCAGTCCTTTTGAGATGTTGTGTGGCCCTACAAAAACTCTATCCCATGCATTCACTATCTCCTTCCTTTTGGCTCAGGGGACTTCTCTGCCAGGTTCAAGAGAGTCTTCCCCAGCATTCCTTTGCTAAAGTTGTCATCCTCAATCAGCGGCATCTTTTCCCTTTCAGCTGAGTTAAAAAAACAGTTAATGAGCTGTCCCTTGGGCCCATCTACTGAGTCAAATGATTTATCCTCAGCTGCTGATTTACTCAGCAACTCAAGGGACTGTGTAGGGATTTTTCTTTCCCAGAAGGAGAGCTACACTTATATATACACACAAAACTTGGCAGATATCCTGCTGAATTCAGTGGGACCAACTTTTAAACAAAGCAGGTAAAGCAAATTGGATTCTGGGCTCAGACAATAAGGTGAACTTAATAACTTTGGATGGCACCAAGCTGGGTCAGTGAAGATAGAAGTTTCTGCCTAAAAGGAGCAGCCTGTGCATTTAATCTGCAACCTTTTGGAAGCTCCCCTTGAGGCATAAGGAGAATGCAGTGAGTGGAGCCAGGATACCAAATGGTTGTAACATGCAATCATATTATCCATAGCTTAAAATTTGGTTATTTAGGATAGCATTGTCTCCATGCTGCTTGTGTGTCTGAACCCACAACCACGTTTCGTCATGCCAGTGGCTTGAGCATGCTGCCACCACTGAATTTGACATGGTGTTTTTTGCTTTCCTCCTGTCTTCTCTGCAACTTTGTCTTTCCCTTACCATTGACAAGATCCTTGGGTACTGGCTTGAAACCGCAGACTTAGAACAGAACCATTTTAAATACCATAGGAATAGAGAGCAGAGGAACCAAAAGCCGCAGAAAAGAACAAAGTTTACCATAAGGGGGGAGGTGATGGCAGCTGGCAACCTCCAAAATCAATTCAAACCACTTTCCTGGAAAGAAAAATGCAGGAAATATGAAGAAGGACATTCTGCTAATAAAAAGAGAGAAAAGCCTGAAAGGAGTTGGAACTTTAAGAAGATGAAAAGCAAATTTAGAGTCAGCAAAAGCTTGGGAAAGACAAAACCTGAATCTCCCTCAAGAGAGCACCCAAGCAAATGAAAAAAACCTTGGCTCACTTCTCAGTCCTTTCACCATCGAAGGGAATTGTTAGCCCTCTGGCCTAAAGCCTGAACTGGATGTCTTGAATGAATGGTTGAACTGAATGGTTGTATAATCCCCCCCACTTGCCCCCTCAAAAAAAGTCATGACCTAGAATATAGGACACAGAATAATGATCTTTAGGAAATCAGAGTCTGGTTAAATATTAGGGAAACTAATAATAAGCATACTGAAAATGAAACCCATTACCTAGAACTGGGGTGTCAAACTGGTGGCCCGTGGGCCAGATGCATCACTCACAGGCCACACCCACCCTAGCTCCACAAAGGAAAAAACAGCATATGTCACATGATGTCACATGACGCTATCAACTTTGACACCCGTGATCTAGAGAGTTCATAGTTTCCCTTTCATTTGACAGGAGAGACTAGAGAGAGTTGTGGTAGATGCTTTGACCTGATGACAGTTCTATGATTCTAATGTGATATAGGAAACAACTTTTTTTCAAATCAGTCAACATAGCTGAATATTGCCCACATCAAATCTCCAAGGTTTCACTGATTTTAGCTGGAGTTGTCAGCCTTAAAAATCAAAATTGATAAGCTGGGCATAATGTAGAATGATAGTTTTTTTTCTGTATACTTTCATTTTAAGGCAAGAAATCATTCCAAATTCAAAACTGTCTTCTTTTGCTAAATATGGTGACAAAAATGTATGTATCTGTATAGATAGTGAGTATAAGTGTTCTGATTAGCTCCCAATTCCCACCCACTCACATTTCCTTGGGTTCCTCCCTTCCCCCCCCCCCTCCCTGGGCAGGTGGTCATAAATCAGATGTTGTGTCATATTTATCCATCCATTACAGCTCCTAAGAATGCTGGTGGGTTCCTGTAGGGCCAAAACATTCTGGGGAAATAAAGTTGATACAGATGTTGGTATGTCCCAAAGGTGCTTTTTCAGGAGGAAACTGGACTTTCTTGTTTTTTCCTTTGAAGATGTTTGGCTTCTCATCCAAGAAGCTGCTGGATGAGAAGTGAAATGTCTTCAGAAGAAAACACAAGGAAGTCAAGTTGACTCCCGAAAAAGCACCTTTGGGACAACCATGACCTGGATGACTGAAAATTTCTACAAACAGATGCTGGTATGTTGCTTTATACTATACCATACCAGCTTGTCATTTTATTTCATGTTGTCATTTTGAAATAATGTATCAGATAGGTACCAAGAAAGTTGACATCCATAGTTGCCATATTGCCTTTTACAAAGGGAAAATAAAACACCTGCTACTTTAATGGTATGATAACCATTGTCCTATGGTAACATCATTGTCATTGTCATCATCATCATCACCATCTTCGCTATTATTATTGTCATTTTTATTATTATGGATCACATGGTGAATCAGATGTTTAGACTTGATTTAGCATATTTATCCATCTATTGAGTTCTTCCCAAGAACTTGGGAGAGGCAGATGTTGTTTGATGGCATTAAAGATATGATCGTAGCAGACAAGTTGTTCCAAGTAAAGCTGCTTTTGTAATTGACCGATGATGATTTTGTCAATGCCAATAGTGTTCAAGTGGTGCTCCAGATGTTTAGGGATTGCACCTAAAGCACCTACCACTATTAGTACTATTTTTGCTTTCTTTTGCTACAGTCGTTCTATTTTTAACTTGTGGGTCTTTGTATTTTGTGATTTTCTTTCAATTATTTCTCTTCTATTCTGTCTTCAGGTACTGCCACATCTATTATCCAGACTCTTTTGTCTTTTTTATCAACAATTATTAAATCTGGTGTGTTGTGTGGCAGGTGCTTGTCTGTTTGAATTCTAACATCCCAGAGCACTTTAGCTTCTTCATTTTCTATTACTTTTCTATTTTGTAGTCCCAGCAGTTCTTTCTTGCAGGCAAATGGTATGTCTTGAAGATATTCCAATGCACCATATTTTGTTACATTGTGGTTTGTAATAACCAGGTGGTCCACTATTTCTTCAGCTTTTTTTGCAAAAATGGCATTTGCTGTCTGTTGCTATCTTCTTAATTCCAGCATTGTATGTATTTGTTGTTAAGGTTTGGTCTTGTGCAGCCAGAATTAGCCGCTGTCTCTTTCTTCTACTTTCCTGCTCTTAGCTAATGCCAGGTCATGTTGTTATCTGTTTGTTTAATGTATTGGTCATGTAATACTTTGCTCTGTCATGTCTTTGTTTGGTCTTTCTTTTAGGCCACTTTGGTCTGTCTGGTATTCAGTAAGCCTTCATGGTGTACATCTTCTTCATTGTTCTTCAGATAACCTTCTTATGCTCTTTTTTTCTTCTTCAGGTGTCTGATATACTTGCAACATTCCATGCCCACCTACAAAAGTCCTTGGTAAGAAGAGTCTGTCAACATTAGTGCAAGGATGAAGAGCATTGTCATTATTTTTCTGGTCCTCCTATCCAGAGCTATTAGTTCTGCGTGAGTCCAATATTATTATTTTCCTCTTAATTATATTACATTGTTAAATATTGATGTTATTCATTTCTTTATATTTTTTATATTATTTATAATTACATACACACACACACACACACACACACACAAAAGTATATCACAGAAGTGAGTACACCCCCTCACATTTTGTAAATATTGAAGTATATCTTTTCATGTGAGAACACTGAAGAAATGACACTTGGCTACAATATAAAGTAGTGAGTATACAGCTTGTATAACAGTATAAATGTGTTGTCCCCTCAAAATAACACAACACACAGTCATTAATGTCAAAACTGGTGGGAACAGAAGTGAGTACACCCCTAAGTAATAATGTCCAAATGGGGCCTGTGATATACTGTATCACAGTATGTCACAGATGATTCTGTGATATACTGTATATATAATTTATATATAGTTGAATGTTATTCCTACTAATATTACAACTATTAGTCCCAGTTTTATTAGGCCAAAAGCTCATATTCCTATCCAACTGAGCCAAATGTATTCACTTGCAATATTTCATTATGACCTTGAGAAAGTCCCTTGTGGGTTTTGACCACGTTGCTTCCCCCTATTGTAAATTATGTTGAGAGCCCCTGAAAGTAAACCTTCAGAAAGAATTAACCTTTTCATCTTCTGTGAAGGTAATTAAATCGGACTAAATTGGAACATGACAAAAAGAGTGGTGTGCTTCGATTCAACCCCTCTCCTACTTACAATGATATATCTTGATTCTTGTGATGTGTGAATATAACCAAGCCTATTCAGTCTATGAAGTAGGAAGTAGGAAGACCTTGGCAAGCCTGATGGGGAAGGATGTTTTGTGTTGTCACCGAGGAACTTCTGCCACAAAGGAATACGTCATGGATGTAAAGAGAAAAACAATTCTTTTGAAAATTAGCAGGAGATACACTGGATTGTTTTTCTTTTTCCTTCCTTCTCTTTTTCCGATACCGAACCGCATGAGGTTGATTCTCATCAATAATATATGAATAATGCCACAAAAATTATCAAATTATGGTGAGAGGCATAATGATGCACAGATAATAGATCAGTGATGGCTAACCTTTTTGCTGTCGCGTGCCAAAAATGGGGGGAGAGTGGGGGGTTTGCGGGGGGCGTGCCCACACCCATAATCCAATGCATCCCACACATCCGCACGTGACCCCCCCACTCCCCCAGCTTTTGGCAAATGATGGAACAGTGGGCCCGTTTTTCACCCTCCCCAGGCTCCAGAGGCTTTCTAGGAGCCTGGGGAGGGCAAAAACTGCCTTCCTGACCCCTCCCCCCGAGGCCCTCCGGAGGCTGGAAATAGCCCATTTCCCGACGTCCAGTGGGCCCGGAAGGCCTGAAAATCAGGTGGCCGGCGCACGCATGCGTGTTGGAGCTCAGCTAGGGCAACGCTTCTGTGCCCACAGATACAGCTCCGCGTGCCACCTGTGGCACGCGTGCCATAGGTTCGCCATCACGGTAATAGATTATTATTAATGCAGTGCTAAGATACAAGAAGAGCATGGTACTACAAATTAAAATAGGTTTGATTTTTTTCCCCCATAAACCAGCTGTCATGCTGGTCCTTTGAGCTTTGGAAATCAAATTGAGCTTCAGACCTGACCAGGAAGACATATCAAACATCCTCTTCATTTCAGATATAAGAACTTTATGCAGGATTCAAGTTCAGAATACTAATCATTTTGCTGAGTTTAAAAAAAAATCAGTCAATATGACCAAGCACTGCAGAGATTTAACTCCTATACTTGTTTGCAGTGCCACATAAAATACACACGTCTCATATTGCATTTATTTACTGATCTATTAAATTAAGTTGTATTACCTGTTATGTCCCCCAGTGTAATATTGTGGTTAAATGTTGGACTGGTGCTGAGAATAGAATAGAATTCTTTATTGGCCAAGTGTGATTAGACACACAAGGAATTTGTCTTGGTGCATACGCACTCAGTGTACATAAAAGAAAAGATATATTAGTCAAGAATCATAAGGTACAAGACTTAATGATAGTCATAGGGAACAAATAAGCAATCAAATCATATTAGGAAACAGTCAATATAAATCGTAGGGATACCAGCAACAAGCTTAGAGTCATACAGTCATAAGTGGGAGGAGATGGGTGATAGGAACGATGAGAAGATTAATAGTAATGCAGACTTAGTAAAGAGTTTGACAGTGTTGAGGGAATTATTTGTTTAGCAGAGTGATGGCGTTCGGGAAAAAACTGTTCTTGTGTCTAGTTGTTCTGGTGTGCAGTGCTCTATAGTGTCGTTTTGAGGGTAGGAGTTGAAACAGTTTACGTCCAGGATGTGAGGGAGGTCTGTAAATATTTTCACAGCCCTCTTTTTGACTCGTGCAGTATACAGGTCCTCAATGGAAGGCAGGTTGGTAGTAGTTGTTTTCTCTGCAGTTCTAATTATCCTCTGAAGTCTGTGTCTGTCTTGTTGGTGACCTAGATTCAAAATTACTTTCAACCATAAGACGTTTCCTGGATAACTTTGGGCTAGTTAGCACAATCTACCCCACAGGGTCAATATTGGAGGGAAAAAATAAAAGATTTCTCGCCCACACAGAGAGACATATACACAGAAAGGAAGGCAGGCAGACAGGCAGGCAGGCAGACAAAATCCTGTTTGTTGCCTTCAGTTTTATTTCGGATAATGCTATCTTGAAATTTCGGAAGCAAGTCAAGAAAATCATGAACACGATCTTCATGCTAAACCACAATACAACGCATTGTATATTACAATCAGGGGTGGGTTCTACTTACCTTTACTACCAGTTCACAGTGGGGCTGCACGCGTGCTCTTCTGCGCATGTGCAGAAGCGTTTTGATGACGTCAGGGTCGGTGGGCGGAGCCTCCTGCCGGTTTTACTACCGGTTCTATAGAACCGGTGCAAACTGGGGGTAACCCACCACTGATTACAATGTTAGAGACATATTTGGAGGGAAATATTTCTCAAGCTCTGTTCATTAAAAAGTTACATACGCTGACATTGTGACTTGGACTGTTTTCTATTCCAAATCAGGTGATTATGAATCTCAGCAACATTACTAACTACAAGATCGCAATCCAATACACAATTAAGCATGTAAAAAAAATTTCAAGCTCGATCAATAGATGCATTTAATCCAGTATTAGATCACAGCCAGAAATATCAAGGTGTATCAGGAAAGAAAGAAAGAGTGTTCAGATTAGAGAATAGCATTGCTAGAGAAACTTAAACCCCAACATTTATTTTTTCTTCTTCTACAAATTAAGCAGTATTGACAACCTTCCAGCACAAAGTTTGTATTTTATTTAAAAAGAACACTCTGTATCTAATTCTTTTCTGCTGAATCTCTTACTTGCTCATAGCCATTCTTTGATGAGCAAAGAAATCTATTCTAAACTTCTGCTGCCAAGGCCTTTTTCTTAATATTGCATTCTTTGCCAAGGAAGGAAGGAAGGAAGGAAGGAAGGAAGGAAGGAAGGAAGGAAGGACTTTTCTGGCTGCCAAATATATTTAAAAGGATTTCCAATTAAATTCATTTAATTTTCAAATGCCTAAAAGGCCATCACAATCTAAGATCTATATTTTAATTGCAGTTGTGTTTATTAGAGATCTTTCTGTGCTATTGTGAAACAATTGCTGTCCTCAGACCTGGAAGTGGAGGGCCAGCTCAATATAAAAGATTTCTATCATTATAGGCTGCAGTTCTCAAATTCCATATACTTCTTTCCAGTTGATATTAATACTAGTATTAATATCATAATATTAAATTTGAAGGTTCATACGATTAACATCTGCAAAATATTGAATTCAGAACTATGTTTTGTTCTACTGATAAACATAAATAAAATTAAGTTTCTTAAAATCAAGAAAATATTTAAAAAGCCCTGTTTGTTTTTATAGTAGGAAGTCCATCTATGTTTTTGAATGAGCATTCATAAACAAAAATTATAAAGACTAGGAAATGAATGAAGGACTAAAGCATAAAGCACGGGTCTGGTGGCTCAGCAGACTAAAAGCATTGTGATTAACACCAGCTGTCTGCAATTACTGTAAGTTCAAATCTCACCAGGCTCAAGGTTGACTCAGCCTTCCATCCTTTCTAAGGTAGGTAAATTGAGGACCCAGTTTGTGGGGGCAATAAGCTGACTTTGTATAAATATACAAAAGTATGAAGGCTATTGCTTAACGCATTGTAAGCCGCCCTGAGTCTCCGGAGAAGGGCGGCATATAAATCAAATTTTTAAAAAAATAACAACATTTTTTAACTCTATATAACATTTTTAAAATATGATTTCTGATGGTAATCATACAACCACACTAGAAGTGAGGTTATTCTAGCAAGATTCCGTGATGTCTTTTCTGTAGTAATGTAGTCCTTGAAAAAGTCACAGAAAGGTTAACAGTGTGCCAGATTGCATTGGGATGTAACCTAATTTAACTTTCAGGGGTGGGTAAAATGAAAGAATGGATGACTTCTTCTAATTGTAGGGAACAATTTTAATATGGAATCTCCAGAGATATTTGGGAGGGTGTGGGAGTGATGCTGATCTCAAATAATATTTGTTCTTTGCATGTTTCTATCTTTTCTGAATAGAATTGATGGCAAGGAACAGGAGTTCCTTGTGGCTATACAGTATATCCTCTGAATATCTTAGTTTTCCACTTTATCTTAATTTTTACAACTAATTTTTATTCCTGCATCACATTCATTTTCTATAAATCCATCTCTCTCTCTCTCTCTCTTTCTCGCGCTCTCTCATTCTTTTTTTCTCTCTTATCAACAGTCATTTTATCAAAAATTCTATTTTCAGCTCTTTTCCTATAATGTAGATTTTAATAATTTACTTTTTAATTTTATATTCATCTCATTGTACATTGTTTGTGTTTTTCTGGACTCTTCCTTAACTTACTCTGTGTACTAATTTTGTTTTATATATACTATTGTGAGTGATCTAATGTGAACTTTTAATAAGATG